GTGACCAAAACGTTTGAGACCCACTGAGATAACACTGAGAGAGTCCTTTAGTTCACTGAGCCTCTCAGTCTGACAGGAGAGGACTCTCCTCCACTTTGTTGTTGAAAAAACTCCTTATATCCGTTAGCGCAGCTAGCTAGCACCAGAAGCTAACAACTACGATCTCCGGTTTGCTCTCTCTCTCTCTCTCTCTCTCTCTCGCTCATGCACACAAAATGGCTCGTTTCACACACACACAGAGCCAAGCTTTAATGAAACACAGAGACCCAGACGTAATAGTACTGTATGATATTATTTTAGAATCAATAATCTTTCGAATTATGATTTTTATTTATTTATTTATTTTTATTTTTTTTTCATAACCATTTTTCCTCCTGGTCTCTCGCGTCCCCCCCTGTCATGCCTCTTCGCCCCCCAGGGGGGGCGCGGGCCCCCCACTTTGGGAACCACTGACCTATAAGATAATTTCAAACATTTTGAAAGACTTGTTTTCTACACATCGTAAACCTACTGAAGTCCCTTTAAGAAGATGACCTTTATATGTGTGTATTTTAATGTGCTGCCCCCTGTGGTGCCAGGTGTCGTGTCGGGGAGAACTGGTGGTACCGCGGTCAGCACTGCGAGGAGTTCGTCTCCGAGCCGCTGGTTGTCGGCATCGCCATGGCGTCGGTGTTCGGCCTCCTATTGGTGGCTGGAGGCATCGTCTATTTCCTGTCCAGAACGCTGAGGGAGCGCTACGACACAGAGGACAGCGAGGACCCAATCAGGTGAGACCTCTGACATCACTTCCTGTTGACAGTCTGAGGGCATCACTTCCTGTTGACAGTCTGCTGAGTAACGTTGTTTCCTGCACGTCTCTGGAGCGTAGTGCTAAGCTAACCGCAGCGCCGGACAGCGGCCCGGTGGCAGCTCAGTTCTACCGACGCTACGATGACGAGGCGCCGCTCAGAACCGGGTCCAGAGACCAGAACCAGGAGAACAGCTCTCTGAGCAAAGAGGTACGACTCATAATGCTGAGTCCTGTCATGGGTTCAGGGCTGAAAAAGTGGTTCCACATATTAGTAAACTACAGGAAACTGCGGCCATGTTTGTAGTCCCAACCCTCCGACCTCTGTGCTGAGTCATTGTTAATAGACTACAGGACGCTGCGGCCATGTTTGTAGTCCTAACCCTCCAACTTCTGTGCTGATTAATTGTTAATAGACTACAGGACGCTGCAGTCATGTTTGTAGTCCTAACCTCTGACATCTCTGCTGAGTCATTGTTAATAAACTACAGGACACTGCGGTCATGTTTGTAGTCCTAACCGCTGACCTGTAACCCTGCAGGAGATCCAGGAGCGTCTGAGGATCGCCGAGCTCTGCTCCAGAGATAAGCACTACGCCGAATTCATGAGACAAACTCAAGTGTGAGTGTTTTCTATTTAAAAAGAGATCTTTTAAAATACATTTATAAAGAATTAATAACTCTGCCTTTAGATATATTTTATAAAAACTGTTTATATTCATTCAGTTTTTCACAAACACTCACACTCACAGACAGACACACACACACACACACACACACACACACCACACACACACACACACACACACACACACACACACACACACACACACACACACACACACACACACACACACACACACACACACACACACACACACACACACACACACACACACACACACACACACACACACCAGTGTGTGTGTTTGTAGTGTTATTTGTGTGGTCGCTGTGTTTTCTGTCAGAAACTGAGTCTGTGTTTTGTGGTCAAACAGATTCCTGGAGAAGAGAGGAAGCTCCTCCACATAGACCTCCAGGTACACGCTCTTATTCTGAAAGGATATATCTACACACTCTTATTTTGAAAGGACATATCTTCACGCTCTTATTCTGAAAGGACCTATCGACATGCTTTTATTCTGAAAGGACATATATACATGCTCTTATTCTAAAAGGACATATCTCCATGCTCTTATTCTGAAAGGACATATCTACACGCTCTTATTCTGAAAGGACATATATACACGCTCTTATTCTTAAAGGACATATCTACATGCTTTTATTCTGAAAGGACATATCTCCATGCTCTTACTTTGAAAGGACATATCTACACGCTCTTACTTTGAAAGCGACACATATGTAAATACAAACGCTCTTACTTCAAAAGTTACTGGAATTGTTTTGATAAATGACCTGTATGTATTTCCCATGATGCTTTGGAGCCCCCTTCATTAACCCATGTTGTTTCTCCGCAGAAAGCTGCCTTCGTTCTGATTGGAGGATCTCACTGCTCCCCTGGAGGTGACACTGAAACACTTTAGGATTTTATTTTGAAAGGACTCTTTGTGGACCTGAATTCTGACCTCTGATTGGTCGCCTGTCACTTCCTGTTCACTCTGTGTTTATAACCTTCAGTCACTGCTGCTCTTACTCTTATTTACAAACTGCTTTCTGTACTCTTCCTAAAGACTTTATTCTGAAACTTCACTGTTGTTTTTACTTCCTGTTTTCATGTCGCTGATCATCGGAGAAACACGTTAGCATCTCGTTAGCTTCACGTTAGCTTGTTTTGCTCGGCGCGGCTCCCGTCAGTGCCTTCACGCTCCGTTAGCGTCCGTTAGCGTTAGCATCCGTTAGCGTTAGCTCGGGCTCTCAGAGTTGTGATGTTTGTTTGTCTCATTAAAACTCATCCCAGCCAATCAGCTGCTTCACATGTTTACATTCATCTACTGTTAGCATGTAGCCACGCCTAGCCTGTGTACGAATCCAAAGAAACCAAAACTTTTTCAAAAGTAATTTTTTATTTCTGACAACTTTATTTTAGTGCAAAATATGAAGTTACGAAGTATTTCGCTAGCTTTTTTTTTTTTACAACCAATATTATTTGGTTGTTATCTTGTTTAAAAAAAGTTATTTTATGATGGAGATCGTTTTTCGTGCTTCTACGAACAGAATAAAGTAAATATTGGAGTCTTTAAATCACGGCCAATAAAAACCCTTCTTACTGTTTATTAGTTTTTATTACTTGAATTTGTCTTGGTTGTTTGTTTGTTTAGTTTTTCTGTTTTTAACATTTAGATTTCCTGTTTTTTTAGATCTAAAATATGTTTGTGTTTTACATTCTGTCGTAGAGAATAAATAAATATAATGTGAATTTTCTAAATAAAAAGAAATATTTTTTACAGCAACACCACGCTTCGTTTATTACTAGTATTAGTAATACAATTGTAGTATTTTAAAAGTAGTAGTTAGTACTTAGTAGTGACATCATTACAGAACCCCAGTGGCCCCAGTACTGATCCCTGTGGGAAGCCATGTCTCACTCTAGAGGACCAGAGCCCTTCTTCTTCTTCTTCTTCTTCTTCTTCTTCTTCTTCTTCTTCTTCTTCTTCGATGAAACTTCTTATATTTCCTCAGTGAGTGGAAACAGGTCCTATAGG